GTCAAAGAGACAAGTGAAGTCAATGCCTCGACAACCGTTCTGCCGAAAACGGTTACACTATCACTCCTCTGTCTGTCCTGGCCAGGCAGCAGTGGAATAAGAGGGTAAAGAGTAGATAGATAGGCCAGGACAGAAGAGAGAGTGATAGTGTAACCGTTTTCGGCGGAACGGTTGTCGAGGTATTGACTCCACTTGTCTCTATGACGTCTGAGAATGTACCAAGTCCACTGTCTGATGCTGGGAATCATGACAACTACTTCGGACTAGGTGCGTTCTACATAGTCGCCCTGACAACAAGATCAAGTTGCGACAACGAGTTCAACCCACTGATACAGAATTAAAGCTTAGATTATGAAATTTATCATTACTACTCGGGCAGAGGATGGAGTAGAGGGTAGGTTCTACATGGTATTCCTTTCGTCCCAACCGAGCCGCGAAAACGAGGTCAGACCAACAATGTATGACCACAGGAGGTTGTGAATAAACCAATGGTCACATCGTCTTGGTCCTCTTTATGCACGAGCAACACTTTTAGGGCTCGCGAAACTGCCTGAAAGGATTCCATCAGTCTCGAGTATCTCGTCTTCCCTCTGAGGTGGTTGGATAAGCCAGTCTGAAGGACGGGTGGAGCTTTTAGGGTACGAGGTCAGAAGACACACAACCGGATGAGCACACACATCTAACTGGTTGAAATCGCTATGCTCCACTTTTGTGTGTTGAGCGAATTGTGTAGGAGAGAATGAGGCATCTACGGGGCTCGTTCCGGGTTGCGGAAAAATGCCTTCCAGACACCAGACGAAGAAGCGCCTGAGTCGCAGTTCCTCGGAATCCGGTACACCCGCCAATCATTTAAGCCGGTTTGGAACAGATTTATTCGCTTCTCTACACCCCGAGATGGGCATAGCATTAAGTTGAGTTTATTTCAGGCCTAACCGACCTCAGGTACGTTCTTTTGGGAGGCGAAAATTGACTAATTTTCCCGGAAAAACGGTAGAAACTGCCAATTTGCGCTTTCTGCCCAACCAGTCTGACAAAGAAGATAGGGAGTTGGTGGTACAGCTCAGGCATAGCAGGCTCATCCGGGCTCTCTGTCCCAGGGTTTCAACATCAAAATAGAGACTTTGACGGATGGAGCTACC